TGAGCCGCATGCTCGTTTGCCCCCTCTCCTATAAAAAAAAAATGCAATTTGCTATAGTAAAATAAATATCTGTTTTTACGATGCAACATTTACGTAATAGAACTAAAAATAGCCACGGTACAGCTATATTATATGGCTGCGGCACTAATGGGTATGCTCAAAAGGGTCAAAATATAGTTTATGATAATAGTAAAATATATAATTTTACATTTTGAAGTAATACACTATGTCTTAGCACCAACTTCAGAATGTTAATTATTTTCTTTTTAGCATCTATGTTTTCCACAATAACTTCTTTACAATAACATATATAATAATAAATAGTTGTAATCGCAGAGTGTTTTACGAGTCCACTACTCAATATTAGTTTTTAAATGTAATTTGGCAACGGTGGTGAGGGCGCTCGTGCGAGGAAGCGGCGATACGATAAGAACGGCCTTCGAGCCGGCTGAGTTGAAGCGTTACGAATTGCAAAGGTGCGCTCGAGGTAAAGCGCCTCTCGTCATTGTTACCAAGTTAGCAACGTATGCTCTATGTGTTTATTATTATGTATCACTTTTTCCTATACTAATAGGGGAATTCATAGAATGAACAATCAATTTAGAAAATTACATTCTAAATTCACATCTATCATTACAGCATAGATTCGGTTTTTTTGCTTTTGATTGCATCGTTGCTCTAGTGGTTATTAAGCGGAACTACTGATCATAAGGTCCCTAGTTCAAATGTAAGTCGGGTCAGTTATTGGGGTTTCCTGTCAAAAAATTTTCAGTAGCAGCCCGGAGGCAGGAAGTTGGCGGTTTTTCACCCCCGTGCCTAGGAATCACGTAAAGATCTTGGTCCTGTGGCTGAGCTTTCTCCGGTCGTGTTGAATTATCGTTCCATCGGTCTATGAGAGAAAGGGAATAGAGTGTGCTCGGGCTAGTGAGTAAGTCTCCGTTGAAAGTCGCCGTTGTGACTGAAATTTAGTCTGGATGATATTAGTTTCGGTTTTACACTTGTTAATGATGTCAGAAATGCCATGGAAGTAGTCGACTAAGGCTAAAATACCATTACTATGACAAATTCTTCACCATGACACGATGTATACCCGTTACCTGGGGAAAAATGCAATAGAATTGTTTTAAGTTGGCAATATAAACGCGTTTAATGTAATTTAATTTTAAAACAAATTAGAGGATGGTATTGTATTGTACTCAGCCTTGCATATTCCTTGCCGGCAATCAGAGCGGCGCGGGCGGCGCAGCGTGCGGAACCGATGACGTCATGTTACCTTCACAGCCGCTGACCAGACGGTTCATAGCAATGCTCATCATAGACAATTTATGTAATAGAATTGAAATGACACACGAACTCACAGTCCGCCTGATGGTAAGTGGTTACTGCAGCCATGTCCATTTAAAAGCATTGCTTTAACGCCAACAGTTTTCTTTTAAACAGCAACAACATACCAACCAATGTGCTCTTAAGTGACGAGGAGTTGACACTTGCGGATTCCACTGTTTTCCTTGGTATTACTTTTGACGCAAAGCTCACTCTCCAATAGAGCTTTGCGTCCATAATAGACGTGGTATATCCGTTTCCGGTAATCCCATTGGTACCCGTGGTAGAGCCATGCTGCAGCTATATTACTGGTATAGTTGTAGCACGAATGGGTCGTCTCGACCGGGGAAGGGCCACGCTCTCACAGAATACCAGCGTAAAATAGCAGCATAATGCTGCTGTGTTTCGTATGGTGAATGTAGAGAATCGGAGACCCTTTTTACTGGAAAAGAAGCATTCCATCTTAGTCCTCACGGGTGACAACATATTATCTGCATTTTGATTCCTAATCGAGGATAGATGCAGATGTCTATGGGCCAAAGCAACCACTTACCATCAGGGGGACTGTGTGCTCGTTTGTCACCCTTATCCTATAAAAAAAAATAGCAAACAGACTTAGTTATGCAGCTTATGCTGTAAGATAAATTAGAAGTCTCAATAATGTTGATACAGCTAGATTAGTTAACTATTTTAGTTATTTTCATCGCGCAATGTGTTATGGAATCTTGCTATGGAGGAAAACTCCTGACAATAAATATAAGTACAATTTATAACATAAATTGTAGAGTCCCTTAGCGAAAAGTTTGAAGAGATAAATAATATATTAACTTGCCTTGCAATATATTTATGAGAATGTAATATATAATGTACCTACGTAAAAACATAAACAGATTTGATAAGAACAAAGATATTCTTCTTGAAATACTAGAAATTAACACGAGCTTATAATGGCAGTTACTAGACTACAGAATTAGCAATAAATTTTTGGGAAAATGTATACGCTTTAACTTATAACAAAGTCGCAGAAAACGTTCAACGTTTGTCATTCAACAAGTTTCATAATTTCATTAAACAAATATTACATTATTTTATAATGAGACAAAATAATCCCCAGGAATGAGGTAAGTGCTACCATGCTGGTTCTACTATAATTAATTTAAATAATTCTTTTATTGTAAAATTAAATCCCGCTGGGTTTCCTGCTTGTTCTTCCCAGCAAGTGTTTTCCGAACCATTGACAAATAAAAAGTTACTTTTAATAAGTATGTAATAATTTATGGTGAATAAAAATATTATATTCTATTTTATTTATGGACACCTGCAAACCTACTACACATAGAAGTTGAGCTGCCGCCCCTGAGGACTAAGATAGAATGCCTTGTTTCCAGTAAAAAGTGTCTCCTCGTTGGAATGGAATGCCTCGTTACCAATAAATAAAAAAAGGTCACCGGTTCACTACCCTCACAAAATAGGAACGGCAGCGATTATGCTGTTGCTGCTTCACGCTGGTATTCTGAGAGCGTTATGCTTTTGCGGTCGTATTTTGTAACCAAAATACAGTTGTAGTGTGGCTTTGCTACGTATACATATAATATTACTACGGTATTTTACGTATATGATATCACTGTTGTTCACAAAGTTAAGTCTCATTTCATTACTAACTAGCTGTGCCCCGCGACTTCGCCCGCGAGGAATTTATTACGACTAGATTTTATGGATGTTTTTTTTTTTTGCGCGGAACGCTAATAATTTTTCTAAAATAAAAGTAGCTTATCTTACTCCTTATAAAATTAGCTATTTGCCAGTGAAAGTCCCGTCAAAATCGGTCCAGCCGTTTCGGAGATTAGCGGGAACAAATAGATAGACAGACAGATAAAAATTTTAAAAATTGTGTTTTTGTTATATGTACCGTATGTACTTTCATATGCATTTAGTAAAAAGCTTTTTTTTTGACATTACAAATAGACACTTCAATTTTATTTATTTGTATTATTACATTAATTAGATTAGACTACATTACATTAATTTATCTGACTATTGATTTCACGAAAATTTACTCTACTTTCGGAATTTATTTTAAAGTACTTATCGTACATAAACTAAGAAAGCAAACGATAAACGTAATTATAATTATTTATAATCACTGCCGTGACTGTAATGTTGTTATCGTGCATTTCCGTGTACTTTCAAACAATAGTAAATATTTCATTTATCTTTTGTGTTTACTTGTGTAGCTACAATTTAAATGAATCCATTTAAATGAACGGCCGATAAGGAAATTAAAAACAAAAGTTCCCTATCGTTGTTGTTGTCTACTATTCATAAATGTACGATAAGAGGAGTAGAGAGACGGGTGTCGGTTGTGATATTGTGATAGAATTTTGTTTAGATAGACTGACGCAGTCATAATAATGACATGCATTTAGACTATACTACACTATATGTGAATAGAAATTTGATTAGACGTGACGTTGGCTGGTTTTTTTTTAATAGAATAAGGGTGATTAACGAGCACACAGTCCACCTGATGGTAAGTGGTTGATGTGGCCCATAGGCATCTACATCTATCTTCGTTGCGTTGTCAGCCGTGAGGACTAAGATAGAATTCCTCTTTTCCAGTAAAATGGGTCTCCGGTTCTCTACACTCACCATACGAAACACAGCAGCATTAAGCTGCTATTTTACGCTGGTATTCTGTGAGAGCGTGGTCCTTGTCCCCCGGTCGAGCCGACCCATTCGTGTTACAACTATGTATACTATTAATATAACTGCAGCATGGCTCTACCACGTAAAAATGCCGATACGTTATGGAATAAGTTTTACATAATCCCCGTAGGCTTTGGATTATATTTAAACGGAAAGTTACAGTAATCTACTTAAGATTGTTGTTGATTTTAGCGGGGTGGATGGATATGAAATGAAATCGCTTTATTTTTCAACGTAAGGAATAAGAAATTAGTCTTCAAAAGTCGTATTTTTAAATCTTCGACTAAAGTGAGTAAAATGACCTCTGATCTTAAAATATACGGTGAAAGGAACTCAACACGGATCCTCTTTTTTAAAGCCAATGATACCAGCCAATGTTATAAATGTAGACTAACAGTATTTTTTAATGTAACTAAAAGTATGTTTTTTTTTATTTAGTTACACTAATTTAAACCTTAAAATAACATTCGTAAGTGAAAGCTAGTGAATGCAGCGAAAACCCAAGCAGACCAGAATCATAACAGCAGATATTATGTAGAAGTCTGTTCTCTTTTCATATCATGATGGTTCAAAAGGGATCTGGTTCTATGATACGTTTTTTAGTATCTTAAGCGCGACTAATAGAATGACTTCCTTGGACACTTAATGATCATCTATGTCCGAGCGCAATCGACAGGTTTTCAATACAGTAAAGCAAAAACTTATAAGAATTATTTTAATTAATGCTATGTTTATATTAATGATAATGTCCTCCAGACCCACTATCGATAACAGCAGCCAATCTCAGCGGAACAGATGGCTAATCTGAGCATGCTTTAGCTAGAGTCCGGGTGTATGCGCAAGCACTGGAGAACTATATTCTCGTTACTCTTAAAGTCCAAAGAGACGGCAAACCGACACTCTCTCACCCCAGGTGCCCACATTCTTTTTTTTTAAATATTTTTATTTTATATATGACTTGTCGTCAACAGATTGGCAGATCGTCGGAGTCTCCGATTGACTTTGTAGTGATGGACACAGTGGCTGGTGACAAGAGCAGCGACACGAAGGTGCTACAGAGCACGATATCGCGGTTCGCGTGCCGCATCATTGCGGACCGCAACGACGTCAACAATTGTCGCATCTATGCAGCAGGCTTCGACTCCTCGCGGAACATATTTCTCGGCGTAAGTTCAACTCATTTAACTTAATACCCTCGGGCTTGTTTCTAATTGATTATAGAACTATTCATAGTAAATTGGTAATACTTTATTATTGGTAGTATTTTAGAAGTTGAGTATGGTTACGGCGTCACTTGAAAAGTACGCCGTAGCGCTCCGTCTTTCTTTGTTACTCTGATGACAAATGATCGGAAAAATGATCGGTGAAATAAATTAATACTTGTTTACTTATGCTGTATTATATTCTATGAATATATTTTGACTAAGGATTGAAAAACCGATTCTAGAAATTATAAAAATTCAAAAAGAAATTTAAAAAAAAAACCGTACATAAGGTAGATATTTCACTGCCATTTATTAAAAGCATAAAGTTAAAATTCTATTCCTTTATAAGTTTTTCATTTTTATTCATTTCATTTTCACATTCATTATATCATTATTGAATATTTGAGAGCATTTGCGATCGCACCACTAGTTTACAATAGAATAGAATGATCAGTAGAGGTTCACCTACAGTAGCAGACATAAAAAATGCGATATTTAATACTACCTATTATCATAATATCTATTCTGTGCTATTATTTATTCTGTGGTACTGACAACAACGGTACTGCGTTATTTTTCTCTGTCTGCTACTGTAGGTGAACTCCGTGCTTGCATGTGTGCTTTGCGAAACGCTTGCATAATACTTTGGTTTCGAATACATACAGAAAGACGGAGTGTTGTAGAGGACATATGCGACGTGGAATTAGGTATAACCAGCTCCCCGAGAACTGGCTTACTGTGTAGAAAAGCGATCAGTCCATTGAAGGTTTTATTTTAAGAACTCAGTATTTTAATAAAACCTACAAGTACCTACTAACTTACTGTTAGGGAAAAAAAACTTTTAATCTCTATAAAATTATGTAATTGATTACAGGAAAAGGCGACAAAATGGACAGAGAATCACGAAATTGACGGATTAACGACAAACGGTGTATTGATAATGCATCCACGTGGTGACTTTTGCGGCGGCAATGCCACCTGTGGCCCGTGGCGCGAAACCTCAGTCGGCGGCGCGGTCTTCTCTCTTAGGGAGAGTCGGTCAGCTCAACAAAAGGTAACTACAAATACATTATCATGTACATCGGCAATCATTACCATCAACAGAGTCGGCTTTTACCATTAGCTATAACCATTATTGTGTATAGTTTTTCTAAATATTAAGACATGCCGCTTTCCTCACGATGGTTTCCTTCAACGCCGAGCACGTGGTTAATCAGCTCTTAAAATTGCAATTATCAATTTCATTGGTGCTGGCAGGGATCGAACCCGGATAGCTCGCGTACTGTAAAATTTGCAGCGAGCTAATGCTCGCCCCTGAGCTACCACGGCTTTATTATATGTGTATACCAATATATTTTATGAGTGGGATTGCGTGGCACGGTGGATTGTGGCAAATAATGTCGGTATGTTATAATAGAATAACCAAGAAGGTAGCTCGAAAATATAATATTGCTGTGTTTCATATGGGGAATGTAGAGAAGCGCAGACCCTTTTTATTGGTAACGAAGGCATTCCACTAGATGGAGTGACGACCTGGTAAGAAATGCAGGAAGCGATGAATGCAGGTGGCTCAGGGCCGTGCCGTGCTTTGTGGCATTCCTTCGGGGAGACCTATGTTCAGCAGTGGACTTATGAAGGGCTGTAATGAAGATGATGATGATGATGAAGGCATTTTATACTAGGTGGTAGGACTTTTCTACTTAAAAGTCTGTCTGGGTAGGCACCACACTCTTACCTATTTTTGCCACCAAGTAGCAGTGCGTGCACTATTGTGTTCCGGTCCGCAGGATATAGAGAGCCGGTACAATTACAGGCTGTGAGACATTCTATCTTAATCTTCAGAGGTGACCATGCAACTATAGCCTTTATGTTATTTGCACCTGCAGAGATAGATACCCATGTAAGGGCTGCAGTAACCACTTACCATTACATAAACTTTAAGTTCATTTTTAAATAAAACTAATTTTACGAATTTTATCGCGTATATTAACTTATTTTATATCCCCGACGTTTCGAGCACTTTACAGCACCCATGGTCACATATGGTAAATGTGTAGTGTTCGCGTAAATATAAGAAATCATTATTTAAGATCATTTGTTACATTAGTATTATAAAAAAAAGGCCATCTTAGTCCTTTATATTTCATTTATTCAAAGGCGATTACTTATAGATTTTTACTGTTAGGACTACTAGGATATACTAGGATTTCCCCTAGTATCGTAGAAGCTAACATACATAAAACGCCCATGGAAATTTCTTAATAACATACAACTATTTGCTACCTTACGTGATTCGAACCCGCAGCGTCGCAGCTAATGCTTAGCCACTGCTCAAAAGAGCCTGTCTGTTTTTTTTTAATACTTATTTCACAGTAGCTAACGAAAGTAAAATATTAATTTACAGGGTGTGCCATGCCAAGCTGAAACAAATGTGCTGAGAGATGGAACTATGATCGACTTGTGTGGAGCAACCTTGCTATGGAGGAGCGCTGAAGGACTTAAAAATTCTCCCGTATGTATTTAGAAAACAAAACGAATTAAATCATATTTACGTTATTTGGTGAAGTGTGTGCTCATCTGTCATCTTTACTTGTACAAAAGTGTCCACGTTATGTAAGTGATTACTACTGCTTTTGGAGACCTACAGAAAAGTTTTTCTATCGCGTCCCATAATATGTTTGTCATCTCTGATTTTTTTGTTTAGTTTTTTTATGTGCCACATGAATTTCAGTCGTGTGACTTGATGTTATATTTTTCATATCTGATTTATTGACACAATTGGGCGCGTGTCGATATTTATCTGTGGTATGCTAAATGTTTGTCACCCCTGACTTTTGTTTGTATCGAAGACGTGTCGATATTTTCCCGTCGCGCGCTGTACTGTGTACGTTTGTTACCGCTGAGTTGTGTGGTTGTGCGCAGACGAAGCGCACGCTGGAGGCGCTGGTGGACGAGCTAAACGCGGGGCGGCCGCAGTGCCCGGTGGGGCTCAACACGCTCGTCATCCCCCGCAAGCTGTCCGCCGCGCACCAGGACCTCAACCAGCCCTACGTCTACCTCAACTGCGGACACGTGCAAGGTACGCGATATAAATAGCCAACCGACTGACGGCTCGAAGTTTTTACACAATTAAACACCAATATATTATTATAACATTATTGTGCGAGTTTCATGTTGAAATGTTGTGCATACCTTTAAGTTACATACATATGTATATTGTGTAATTCGGTTAGTAACTGCAAATGTTTATTAATAATGTTTCGTATGTGTTTAGTTGGTAGCCATAAATAAATAAATAAATAACAGGGTCTTAGGGAGGATATTTGCCATCGTTGCAATGTTTGTAAGGCGGTTTTGCAAACGCAGTTTCCGTATTATTATTGTGCTCTTTTTGGGAAGATATTATACAGCCTATCTGCTGGTTCGATTTCACTCTGTTTTTTTATGACACCCCCACAATGATATGGGTAGTGAATTCTCTCACGCCGACACATCAAGGCTCTGTATATATAACTTACCATCAGAGGACCTACATAGGCTGCACTAAAAGTATCGGGAATGGAATATTTCCACTGTTCCTGTCATATTAAAATATTTTTAATCGAAAAGTCCTTGGTTTTAAAAATCGAATACCATTTATTTATTTAAAAAAAGATTATCGGTCTTGTCACAAGGTTTTGTCAAACTTGTTTAGTCGTTGAGAAAATGGAATTGACTCGAGAAAATGCAAGAGCGATGATTTATTATGACTTTCGAAGTGGTTTAACACAAAAACAGTGTGTTGACCGGATGATTTCTGCATTTGGTGATGAAGCCCCATCCAAAACCACAATTTATCGCTGGTTTGCTGAATTTCAACGTGGACGTGTCAAGCTCAGTGATGATCCCCGTCAAGGTCGTCCAAAAACTGCAGTCACCCAAGAAAACGTTGATGCTGTGCGTAAGCTGATTGAGGAAGATCGATATGTGACATACCGCGAAATTCAGGCAACTTTAGACATTGGCATGAGTCAAATACAAATAATCTTGCATGAACAATTAGGTGTAAAAAAGTTGTTTTCCCGATGGATACCGCATTCGCTCTGTGAAGAGCAAAAAGCGGCTCGCGTTTCCACGCAGGATCCTCAATTGCTGTATATAACATCGTATCAGGTGACGAATCCTGGGTATACGCGTACGAACCCGAAACAAAAAACCAGTCACGAGTTTGGGTGTTCGAAAATGAGTTAAAGCCAATAAAAATTGTTCGTTCACGGAGTGTTGCAAAAAAAATGGTGGTCACGTTTGTCTCCAAAACCGGCCAGGTTACGACTATTCCTCTTGAGGGACAAAGAACGGTTAATGCAGAATGGTATGCTAGCATTTGTTTGCCACAGGTCGTTTCTGAACTCCGTAAGGAGAACTGCAACCGCCGCATCATCCTCCATCACGACAATGCGAGTTCTCACACCGCACACAGAACAAAAGAGTTTTTAGAGCAAGAAAACATAGAATTATTAGACCATCCGCCGTACAGCCCCGACCTAAGCCCTAATGATTTCTATACTTCCCTAAAATAAAGAATAAATTGCGTGGACAGAGATTTTCATCGCCTGAAGTAGCTGTGGACGCCTACAAAACGGCCATTTTGGAGACCCCAACTTCCGAATGGAATGGTTGCTTCAATGATTGGTTCCATCGTATGGAAAAATGTGTCAAATTTCGCGGAGAATACTTCGAAAAGCAATAAATACATTTTAAATAGTAATGTTGTGTCACTTCCTTGATTTCCGAAATTTTCAGTGCCGCCCTCGTATAAGTTCGTTTTTCATTTCATCTATGGAAGCCTATGTTCAGAAGTAGACTTTTGTTAGGCTATCATGAATAAATGAAATAATGGATAACTACCACAAGCATCAAAATTATAATACCCAGTCTGGTGATGGGGCGAAGCATCAAAGATGCTGGAGGGCTTCTTACGGCGGTGGCTCCACGGTCGAGCTAACCAAAAGACCTCAACGGGAGTCTAGTCATTTGCGCAGAACAGGATTTTATTTCGCGATTCTGTGAGCACGCAGTCTCTATTCCCTCAGTCTCGTAGTCCCAAGGGCTCGTGCTTCCTGGGGCACGGGGTTGAAACATCGCCAACTTATTGACTTCGGTCTGCTACTGAGAATTTCTTGACAGAAAAGCTCAGTAACTGAGTGCTAATAACTATATATTAATATGTGAAGAGATAACTTTGTACTCTTTTATGTTTGCACGCAAGGAGGAGTTGAAAGAGATTCGGCATAGTTAAAATTTATATGGGAAGAAGTGCAGAAAACTAAAATTTATGTATAATATGTGTTAAATATACAATAAATAAAATAAAATGTTCATTGTTTATGTTCATACTGACAGTTAGTTAGTTAGCTGTCAAACACATAATAGTTGTTACGGCCCACAGCTGCCCCTGCAAAGGTCAAATATCCCGGGGCCCATGAGCGGAAGATTCAACGGGCAGCCGCGTGTTCGAGCCCAAATGGCCATATGGAAAAATGACCTATCATACTAAACTGTAGGGAGAAGGCTAGAAAAATATAGTACGTACCTGTATCCGAATCTAAGAGCACCCCAAAGCTCGGCAGCGGCCGATTTCCATGCTGCCCCACAATGCTGCATCACTCCAGCAGGCTTCCCCGCTGGACCATTTCTTTCTTCATGTCACTATTTCAGTCTATTAACTTCATTGTACATTTAACTAACTTAAACTCGCCTAATTCTACATTCATCGTAGAATCGAACACTTGATACCCGACACAGTAACGGACAGTAGTTCAAAGTTCAACATTCAATGTCCCGGATTCATTTATCACCAAATTACAAATAGGGAACTAACGCGATCTCTTCATGAGTCACACGGTTCGGCGTTAAACACAACTAAGTTCCTTCGTTCGATACTAAATACTACGCCGCGATAAGAATTCAAAATCCGCCTCGTTGACACGTAAAACGAACAAAACAGTCAACACACAAAAAAGGGCACTTAACGCGACGGCACAATTACTTTCAAAGAAGTTACTTTAATCAGTCAAAAAAAAAATCCAAAAAAGTAAAGATTTGTAGCTAAAAGAGCTAAAAAACCAACACAGGCTGTTCATTTTTCAAAAAAAAAAAGGAGTAATTATTGTAATTTAATAAAATACAACATACTACATACAAAAAACGAACATTTTTTATATTTTTCTGGTAACTATTATGGTTTGTCCTATCACCGGATTCCGGCTTGACGTAGACTTTTGGGACATTCTGTATGTACAGAGAAAACTTATTCGCGCGCCTGGAAGAGAGATTTGGCATAGTTAAGGCTTATATGGAGAATGAGTGCAGAAAGCTAAAATTTATATATATATATATTATGTATGTTACACATATTATATACAACATGTTTACGTTCATACTGCCAATGTTAAACACATAATCGGTGTTTTTGGATAAAGTATCATACTTGATGCTTGGACAAATTGTTGTTTCTTGACGTTCATTCTGTCAATGTCTCAGAATAGGTATCAAAGAGTATATTAGGTAAAGAGGTAAAACAAAGCGTTTATTTTGTATTTTTTATATAACATATTAACTTGCAGTTAAGGTGAAATACAACTTGCTTGAAACAATTATAATGAGTTACGGTTGAATTTCGAGCATTGAATCATCGTTACAGCCCTTCAAAAGTTCACTGCTGAAAACATAGGTTTCCCATACAGCACGGTCCTGAGCCACCTGTATCAATCGATTTCCTGCATGTTTTGCCCGTTCATCACTCCATTTAGTGGGGGGACGACCTACACTTCGCCTACCGGTACGAGGCCACTTTCGTCCCGGTTGTCGGTTCTGTTGAGCCATATGGCCGGCCAATTGCCGCTTCAGCTCCCTAATCCTAGCTAGTGGTAGTGAATATGTTGTATGTAACATTTGCGGTGCGCAGGCGAGCACTCGTGGGGCGCGGACGGCAGCGAGGCGGGCGTGCGGCGCTGCCCCATGTGCCTGACGGCGGGCGCCGTGGTGCGCGTGTGCATGGGCATCGAGCCCGCCTTCTACGTGGACGCGGGCCCGCCCACCTACGCCTTCAACCCCTGCGGACACATGGCCTCCGAGCGCACCGTCAAGTGAGTACACACCACATACCGCATCAACATCAACATCATCACCATCAGTACGCGGTGTTGCGCGTGAGTAGCGTAATGTTGCTGTGTTTCGTATGGTGAATGTAGAGAACCAGACACTCTTTTTACTGGATACAAGGCTTCCAACAAAAACCCAGTGGTTCCCGTTAAGTGCGTATCAGAATCAGTATTTAAATGTATCGAATTAACTTTACTTTAGAAAACTCAACCATCATAAAATTAAATTATATTAAATATTTTTTTTTGCATACTGTATGTGGTTTTATTACGTCTGCATTGGCCAGAGAGTGAAAGTGTTGTCTAAGACCCCGCTTTACCGATGCGCAATTAATAAAAATATATATGGTCGAATTTTCTGGAGTAATTATAGAAAAACGTATAGACGTTTAAATACTAATTCTGATAAAGCACTTAACGAGAATCACAGAGTTTTTGTTACATGTCATATAATATATATTTAAATGTTTTAGTTTATTTTTACTGCACTACCTCCCAATCTCTGCTTAGCCTAATAGTTGACTGGGAGAGAATGCTTTAAGACATTAAGTCCGCCATGTGTACTATTTTTTATGCATAAAAAAACTGTTAGCCAAGTTTATATTTTCATTATATTGCCTACATTGGACGTATGATGCGCAGATACTGGGCGAGCGTGGACATCCCGCACGGCACCAACGGGTTCCACGCCATCTGCCCGTTCTGCGCCGCGCCGCTGCAGGGCACCCCCGGGTACGTCCGCCTCATCTTCCAGGACAACCTTGACTGAATCTCAATAGCGCAGGTAACTTTTCTTACTTAATCTTGTTTTACCACGTTACACGTTACCCCCACACTAGAATTTTCTCCTGTTTCTGGTGGCAGTTTACGTACATAAATTTCATAAGGGCAAACACCCACATCCGGAACAATTATTTGTAGGTCATACTTACATACTTATTCCGTGTGGGATTCGAACCCGCGGCCCTTAGCGTTGCAACTTTTTGCTAAGCCACTGCGCCACGGAGCCGTCGAACGAACTTCTATTTATATTTAGGTGTTATCTCTACATATAAATAAAATTGTCCTTCTATTGACTACTCTCTCACGTAGTACCAACGTAAAATAGCAGCTTAATGCTGCTGTGTTTCGTATGATAGAGGACCGTAGACCCTTTTAACTGGTAATGAAGCAATTAGATCTGAGTCCTCGGGAGTGACGACGCATTTGTCTTTTGATTCTTAATTGAGGATAGATGTACCTACATCTGTGTCCCATAGGACACAGCATCTACTTGCCATCTGGTGGACTGTGTGCTCGTTTGTCACCATATTCAATTATATATATATTTTTAAAACATGTCCTTCACTACTGAGGATGTTGATTTACACATCGAGTGGCGAGTTTAGAAGGCGGATCGAACTCGGCTTATTCGTATACCGTAAAATTTTAAAACGAGCGTGTAATTGATTGGTAATTTACCTTTTCCGATTTTTATATCACATACAAGGCTAATGGAATTTTATGAATTCCCATAAGCTGCCGTATATCTTTACGAATACTATAGAAGTAACAGTAATATATTTTTTCTTATTTCAAGAATACCTCGTTTAGGGCCGGGAGCTGCCAGAGGCGGCTGAATGCACTAATTGGCGCAAATAATATGTCTTTGATAGATGACTACATATTTGTGGCATTTTCTGCTTAGACTATATTAAGCAAATAAAGAGCAATGGCAGATTTTCATACATAAAATTAGTTGAGAAGAAATGGTAGCGTCTATATCTTAAAAATACCTTAAAATGTTAAGCGTCAGTCCCTGAGTAACTTTGTCAAAGAATTTTGTACTGAGAAGGCGTCAAAAAAAAGATATGTAGATTTGAACCTTTGTAGGTTATGTCTTATGTCACATGGAAAAAGTCATGCGTCCTGTGGTTGTTTGATGTCTTCTTAATAAATTCTCATCATAATGTGCTTACCTACATAATTGAGTTTTTAAATTATTGTATCTCTATTATATATTTGCATACTATAAATGTATATTTTTAGCTTCAACTGTAAAAGTCAATGAACCTGTAGGTATTGGATACTAACAAAATATTTATACATAAGTACATCGCTGGGGATTCTACTTTTATTATTCAAAAGTAAGTCTGGAAGGTTTCTCTAACAATCAATGGATGCCTTAAACGTTGTGGCGGCGCTGTTGTCGCGCCACAAGCGAAACACATCGAAGCCTAAATCGCGCTAACAAAGTTCGGAAATTAAAGCAGTATATATAGAATAGCTGCGAACTACCACTCGGAGCGTTGGCCGCCCCCCGGGCAGAACACCTTGCCCGGCGGGAGATCTCACCTTTTCCTTCCACCGGCTACAGTGGTGACCCCGACGTGATTTGAACACGCAACCAATGACCTTCGGAAAATACAACTTCAAACCTTCGACATCGTCCTCAAGTACTCCATTCATTCGCTCCCGAGCAGATATTGTCTGCAGTCTTCACATTCTGCAAGCCATCTAGCTTTATAAAGGTTCATCGCAGCAGTGGAATAATAATGCTTCCTGTTCCTTCAAGCCACTCTCTGCGCTATAGTGTTCGGCACGGCTCTGAGCCTTACTGATCGCCTCTGCTTCACGGCACTCTCGCAGATTACTTGCCTTCTTCTCGACTCACCGCAGACTACAAGGCGATCCATGGCACTTCCTCCGGCCCAACGTTCTCACCGGCATCACTTGCAAGTGCGTAGTACTGCATGCATTACACACCGGCATATCGTACACACCGGCGTCACTTGTCCTTACGCACACAGCATGCATTTCCCAGCGGCATTAAGGACGCACCGGCAATCGGACTGCACTATCGACCGCCGGTCTGAGCATGATGATGCTGCGTGGCGTGATTTTATTCTTCCTCTTATTAATGTTGTCAACCCACTCTCTCTAAGACCGTATTCAGAAGAATGAATGTGTTCACTACTAACTTGAATTCGGTAGTAGCCATGGAAACGTATATGTTCGCCATAATATGAGCACGCTTGTCTAATCTGATATGTTCCCAGAGCGAATAGAATTAATTCCGAATATTCTAATGTCGGGAAGTATAAAACATTATTGCGATCTGTAGTAAGATTTCTAAATTGGGATGTCCTTCTGTTCATATTTAAGTCCTGAACCATGTTTGCCAGATTATTTTCGAGACCCATTCTTTCCCTTATTATTTCTAATATTTCACTGGCATATATATTATCCTGAAAACGAACACCAAACTTATTTAACAAAGCTGCGGCTAATTGAAAGTTTTGCATCGTGAGTGGTAGAGACCGATGAAAATATTCTTGTCTTAATAGCTTGAAGTTTGTTTTGAAGTGACCACTAACAGCCTCTACCACCCATCTACACATTGTGACACAACGGCTTCGATTTGCTTGTCCTGTAGTTAGTTGGTGCTCGCCTTCTAGAAGGGAATCTGGCATACAGGTTCTATAGTTACATCCTTCTAAAAAACTTATACTGTCCCTGAAACCCCGGTCAAGTATAAACACATCACCTTCTCTAAAATACGATCTTAAAGTAGAACCATCCCGAAAAAGACTTGCCATAATGTCAGCATCTGATGTGGTCGCTTTATATGGGCCATAACATAAGGTTTCAATAGATTTCTGTATTTGTGGAAAGAATAACTCTGCTTTTGAAACATATAGTTTGAGCTCTTATGTATATAAATAAAAGTCCCATCACAAATTACAATTGCATTGTTATTGTTTCCATATAACCCACATGGGATTAACAAATTATAATGCAAGAGTTCTTCCCTCCTTAACTGATTAATGCCAAGATTTGTTGGCACAAAATCTTGAACAAGTACCTCCCTTACTTTATCCATTAATGTCTCCAATGTTCGACGAGGCATATTAATTAATGTTGAGATTCTTTCATCAGAATCGCCTGTTCTCATTTTAAGGAATAGTATTGCTAGTCCTAGACTTCCTTTCCGTATCTCCTGGATCCGAGGTAGTTCTTCAAGTAATGTTCAGAATTTATCTTTTGAATACCCTACCCAGTATACAAAAACGCGATCATCCATTTCTTCATCCAGTAAATGTAGGGATGCTAATTTCAGAATCAAATAATGTTTCCCATATATTACACTCTAAGTGTTCATCACAAACGCTGCAAAGTTCAGGCAGGTAATAGTGATGGTGGTTCAAAACAATTGCTCTTAATTTATCAGATATTCCCCTTAGTGTTGTATTAGAGCAGTGAGGAAAAACACAACGGCTATTTGTATTTGCTGCTCTTCTGTACTCTGGTAACTCTATTACCATGTTTGGTGACTGTTGGTCAGACAAAACTGGTTCTGATGACTGGTCGTCTTCTTGTACATTATGTTCGGATCTGGCATCATCTATAATGCTCATACGCCGAGACTATCCCTGCGTGCGTAACCAGCAAGCATGGCTCACACGATCAGATTCCATTATCTGAAAGAAATAATTTTAAATATTTTAACATGGCGTTAAAATCTACAAAAAAGAGTAGAATGGAAGCAGGCCAGCACCAAGTGAAATTGCAAAAAAAAAAAACTAATTATTGGTTACTATAACCAAACATATTTTCTAATAACAATAAGTCACTTGTTGATCATGGTGCCGATTGTCATGTCGCCTCAACCACCATCTATGGGGCCCACATCAAGGTTTGATCAAGGGACTGATTCAGAAAGGAGTACTTTTTGACATGGCACGTATTGTTAGGAATTTGCCTTTCTCTGGAGCCCTGACCGCCGGTAGCTTGGACCCTGTTCCTGATACAGGTGGGCTATTTCTACTATTTCTTATATTTTTAAATGTTTTTTTATAATGATATATTCAATAAGCCTTCTTCTGGCGCATTCGGGTAAAAATGTATGCTAATATGTAAAAAGACAAATAAACAAAGAGCATAAGTTACTTGTAATATGTGTGTGAAACTAAACATCACATTGCAATTATAAGTTTAGTAAGCAGTTAATAATCATTATAAATATTACTTATAACATTACCTGTCGTGGGGCTAGTTTGTTCTCTATAATAACTGTGATAGAGCTTTGCAAATCTGTAGGGTTGTCTCTTAATATTTTATTGCTCTGTCTGCGTAGTATCGAACATCCACATAAGAGACACACATGAGTATGGCCTCTGTGACTCGGTCCAGCGTGCTGATCACTTCTACCAGAAACTTCATGCTCGAGACATTGATTTACTGCAAACATTGCGAGATCTCTGCATGCTTCACATATATGGTCTTCTTCTGTAATCTGAAAAATAGGGGAATATTAAAATAAAAACAACACTGACAGTAAAAATCGTAACAGTTATAGCTAGGTTTATTTTTATTCAATAGTTGATAATATTGTTTAATTGGACAAATATAAATTAATAAATATTGTAAGGAGAGAGTTTATTTCGACTTTTATTTATATAGAACAAGTTAGGTGAGGGTCGTGCAATGATTTCATAATGTTATTTCAATGTAAGTAGTTACTTACTATGAGTGGGTATACCCAGGTACAGAGTAAACTAGTGACTCTTGGATCGAGTGTCAGGGCAGGATAGCGGCGCAACGTGTTAATGCAAATGTTACAGTTAACATGTTCGCGTTAATCTGCTACGATCTCCCATAGTGGTTCAAAAACGCACTTCAACAATCCAAACGATGAGGCAAAATCGGAGTCCAAAGGGGCGGTAGCACAGTCACGCAGGGCAAGATCAGAATCCTTTAGGCACGCACTCAAAGCAATCAAAGTCAAATAGAAATAAGAAAATAGCAAAAACAACACGAACACGAAAAGCGCAGGAGCATCTGTGACAGTTCACAGTAGGCGTGTGTATCTCTTTACGGAAACGACTCACTGATACGAATCACTGAAGTGACACAAAAGATTGGTTCAGTAACAACGTTTCAAATGTATCATTTGTATCTGGAACAGTGAAACACTACTTTGCTCTTTGCTCATTTCGCGCGACGCGTCGCTTGCGAGGCGACTGAGCCACGAGCGAGAGAGAGAGAGACTGAGACAATGACTTACTTAACTATTGACTCACGAGTGGCGTGTGAGCGGGCGAAATAATTATAATCCACACAAGTCAGATAGAGATAACAAATAAGAAGTGTATCACTCAACTCGTACGGATTTTCGCTGACGTTATTCATGCACGTAAAAATACCACTAAGGCGCTTATGTGTCAAATACTATACGGTCGTTTTTTGTATGTAACGTTTGCATTAACAAGTTGTCATTTTACGTTGATGCGGCACTTCTCAAATTGTTTATATTCATTAGCGCCTGTTTACGAAAACATACTGAGTTATGTTTAGGATTTCTTTGCGTTGTGATTATTGTGACTTTACTTTCTTCCTTTTCATCATAAAGTTTAGAGTTATGATAATTTACGAGTAAATTCTGTGTACATAGACATTGCTGTTTTGTGTAAATGGACATTTTTGTAAATAATGAATTGACATAGTGACGTTTTTGTTAAAGTATGAAGGAGAATCGATTTTATATACAATCTTATTACGGTACACAATAAATAATCTAAGCACTTATATTATTCAGCATTGTTGCCACATAACATTTCACGGATCAGTCAGTAATAAACGCCCGCGACGCAACTTAATGTACTTATTCGGAACATTCTTTGTTTTATATCTTTTGAGTCGATGATTCAAATGAGCCAAATGAAACATATCAGTGTTTCGGAACATTTCAGTGATCAAGATGCAAATGTTCCAATCGCAAAAGTGATACACTTTGCCCACCTCCAGTTCACAGACAAACCGCGCTTTCCGTGACAGTGACATTTTTTTAAATAGGTAATGTTTCTGGCATGCCTTATAGGCTTTTGCGCCATGTTTGCCATAAATGGAATTGTTACATAGTTCTACGATTGTGATTATGTATTATTGCAGGAACTTCTTTATAAGAGACTTATTTTCAACCATATCATATTTATTTTTATTATTACTTATAGTATAGTTATTACTAATAATAACTTCCTATAAAAAAATATTTTGTGTTTGTGTGTTGTGTTGGTAATCTTACAAAGTATATACGAAAATGGTATGAATACAGTAAATGGCAACATTTGAGTAGTGTAAAATGATTAGTCATTTGATATTCCCAAAAATATATGCTTTTTTCTGTGGCTTTAATTAAAGCTTTAAGGAAAGTGTGAGAGTGGTATCGAAAGAAGAGTGAATGCAGGAAACATGGTGAATGGAGCTTTGTACTCCTTTATGAGCAGTCGGAAGGTGTCTAACAAGGCTCGTTTGACTGTGCATAAGCGGGTGTTGGTTCCGACACTCATGTCGGAAGTGAAAGTTGGGTATGGCAGAAGAAATATGAAAGCAGATTAAATGCAGTTGAGATGAGAGCGTTAAGAAGTATGATAGGTGTTAAACTGAGTGACAGGAAAAAAATAGGAAGATAAGGAAAAGTTGTGGTCTGAAAGAAGATGTAGGGACAAAAATTGAGAAAGGTATGCTGAGATGGTTTGGCCATGTCGAGAGAATGAATAAAGAACGATTGACGAAAAAAGTGTATAAGGCTAGTGTGAATGAAAGTGTTGGAAGGGGTAGACCTAGGCGGACATTTCAAGACTAAATCAGGGACGTCCTGAAAAAATGCCAGGTCAAGAGCACCCTAAACCGTAGTGCATGTATGAAGAGAATAATGAAAGTGGACGAAGCGAAACAAGTATGTAAGGATCGTAGCAAGTGGAAAGAAGTGGTCTCTGCTTACCTCTACGGGAAAGAGGCGTGATTATATGTATGTATGTTTAATTAAAATACATTTTTATTTGAAAAATCATTAAAAAATAGTTTAACACATTTTAAATATAAGTTATTTCTAGACGCTATAATTTTTGTCAACTATTTTTTTCTGCCATTGTTCTTTAATAACTAAATATGTGTCTGTCCGTCGAGTCTACGTGCGGTATATTTCTAAAAGAATTGGATCCGCCCGCGACTAACTGTCGTCCCTGATGACGAAAGGGCTGGTTATTTCCTTGCTCAAAAGTTAAATATAAGCCAGTTAGCGTGGAAATGGAAGCAACTTTCTTGGCTATTTTATTATTTATTATTGCTGTAAATATTATATGAAAATGTTTTATGTACTACGTTATGTTGCATATAATTTTTTATCTGTCTCATATACATGTTACAATATAACATTTTATCCACAGATTCGCGTACAAAACTGTACGCAGAAAAGTGCATCGCGGTGAAAGTGTCTACTGAGTGATTCGTAGCGGCAACATCAGCGATCACTTTTGATGTATGGACAATTGATTTAGCTTCTCGCTACTCGATAAGCGTATGTAAAGTTACGTTCGTACGACACGTCGACAATTATATTCTTGAGGCCTGCTAGTGCACTCACTAATGTATGCACCGAACACATTTGTATAGACGGAATCTCACTAGAGAGTGTGGCGTCTATCTGGGGTAGTAGTCGTACGTATATTAAATAAAGTTATATGTATGTTATTTACTATTGATATAGTAGATTTTGTCGAACAAAAGATCGTGACAAAATACTACATAGCTTATTATACAGAAAACAAAACCCGTTGTGTTATATTTAAATCGCTTAATAGGATGTAATTGGTTGATTTTAAATGCACTATTATTAACTTCAGTATAAACAGACTCTGTTCGCACATTATATTTAAGGTCATTCAATTTTAAACTTTATTGTACATTATAAGAAGATTTAAATTGGTTTAGGTTAAATATAAGTTGTTAGTACCAATTTTAACTAAAAACAAAACTAAACCAAAAAAATATTAGAACTGAATTTAGAAATGCCATCAGAGTGAGTAACAATATCGTACGACTACAGTCCAGAGGTTTGCATAATGTGATACAATAGATGATATGTTTACTTTAAATTAATGCATTGTTATTATCTGTATCATTTTATTTTGATGATTGAAACTACACTTAATTTAACATTGGCATTAAGAACTTTCCTATCGAAAGTCCATTGTTAAACATAGACTGCCTCCTAAGACAAGGTCCCCTATGTCATAGTTGCCACACTTAGCAGGCAAAGTTGGCAATGTGGCAAAATAATGGTTGTTATCAGGATGGCTCTTACGACGTATCGGATGATAACAGGTAGTGGATATTCTTACCTCGCCACTAGACAGCAAAATAATTATACTAATACCTATCGGAAAGAATATAATTGTGGAATTTTAGTCATAAAATTATTTTATATGACAATACGGATATTGTAAACAGTAATACTTGTTCTATGTGATTATTTAGATGTCACAGTCATTAACGAACTGTCAACGTAACAAGTATATCAGTCTCTTTTTCTTTCCCGCTCTTTCGGTGTGAAAAAATAAAGCTTTAAGTAAGTTTCGATGTGCTTATACTGTGTAATAATATACAGTGTAAGCACATCGAAAATGAAACCTACATATTGTGGTTGTGATAAAAATTGGGTAGTTGAAAATTTCCTTGGTAAATTACCTTGTTATATAATTTCTATTTGCTGCTTTACGTTGTATGCCAAAACGTTTGACTTTTAATGTTTGATTTTAGTGATTTAAATATTGAAAGTAATGTGTTTGTTTCATAACAAGAAATTAGAATGTAATTTCCTGCTATTCTCGCTATTATCGCTATAGATAAATTTCATTTTAACAACTCATAAAGATAATTCAATTGGCATGAGTGTTTTTACCATGTTTGACAGTAGTGGTGCAATATTTTGGAACAGAATTAATCGCTTTAGCTGTCCTATTCTTAATTTAAAAAAGCAAACAAATACTGGATTAGTGTAGTTCCAGTCATTAAAATGATGAAAGTTGGTAACTATGTTAAGAAAATTATTTTTGTGGCATTATATAAGTAAAAGGCTAGATTCGTGCGCAGGAACGATGGTAACCCAAACCCAATCGATTTCCTTATTGACGCATACTAAAATTATAATTTATGAAATGCAAATATTTATAAAGTTGAGGGGACATTTTTGCCCCTTTAATTAATTGATGTTAGTGCATATTATATAGAGTTTGGATAACGAACTATTTATTTGTTAAAGTGAGTATGTAAAAATAAAATGACCGGTGGAATATAAGACAAGAAAAATATTTCATAGCTTTGTACATTGCAATGTTTGTTTTGAATGATTTATCGTGATCGAGTGAATGGTTTTAAATGTAAATGGAATGATAACGTAAAAGACAATGTAGGGTTGACTTAAATGTTAGCCACTTTGCTAGAGTACACAGTTGCAAAGACAATTGATGATTATCGATTATTTTTAGTTAAAGAGAGGAAAATCCTAGTGTCGTCAGTGTTCATATTTGAAATCAACTAAAATAACCCTCAGTTGTCTTAATATAAAAGACCGAGACAACAAGCAGCAAATATTAAAGAAAATCCGTTGACCAAACCTATCAAGTCATACTATAAGAGTAATGAAGCAACACTTTTTTTAAACATCAACTACTCTTGCTCAAATTACAGAAAAACATTATACAACATAAAATAATTATTTATTGCATATGTTTTCGATGTAGCAATTAATTCAATGATTATTTCTAAATAAAATATATCAATATGAAACTATTTAATTAGCAATTTTAATAGACTCCAGTTTTTATTCATTTGAAAAAATTTCGTTATGACTTTTAGCTTTTCATATTAGAAAACAATAATCGAGACAATTGCAAGTGTGTGATGGGACATTTATTTTTTTACAATTATATTTAAGGACAGCCCGTTATGATATAAGTCGTTGATTGAATATGTGTAATCTATAAATAAGTAATAGTAGCATCTGCGTCTATATTTTGATTGAATTGTAAGATTTCATTTCTAAGGAGTTATAAAATACTGTGTCTATATTAGCTATGGTCCGTTAGTTTTGTATTATTTAATTGCAAAAATATTATTCAAACCACGTATATCGATTCACAGGATTACAATACTTATTTCACTAAACACAGAATAAATATGATGTAGAATTTTTTTCAATTGAAGCAGCAAGACAATTTTTCTAAAGCTTTCCATTAACTTGACAGCTCTCTGTTATTATTCACGCACTTTTAAATGACTCACGCATACTACATTGTGTGAATCCAAAATGTTATAACTTGAACGTATGAAATATATGAGTAAAATGTAAATATTTCATTTCAAGCTCTTGTTAATTAATTTATGTTGTAACGTGTGGAATGCTTCCTAGTTGTAAGTGAGCCTTTTAGTGGTAGTGTAAGCCGACTAGGATATAATGTGTTTCAGATTGTTGGCTTCGAATATTAAATTCTATAATTGATACAGAGTCAATATGTTTGTATATTTTTTGTGCATCTGCCTGTGAACGAAATGATTGGAAAGATATTGTCACTTACATAGTTAACGCGGAAAGGCTGTGGTTGGTCCGCAACAAGCGTTTATGGCGAAATAGCTAGAGGCAATAACTTGTTATATTTACAATTCAAACATTGAAATTTTTCGCCTTTTAACCAGGGAATACAATTGCGTATCTTTAAAAAAAATACTGATGGGAGGTTTTTTTTTGAAAGGTTATTAATAGGTTCTAATCTAATCGAAGATTGTCACACGACGTGATAAAATATGCCATTCATACATTAGTAATATGATAATTGTTGTAATCGAAGAATTTCACCTGACCCATTTTTCTTTTTAAAAGTAGTGCTCAGTTTGAGAAACGTATGTTGTTATAGCGATAAAAATTGCTAGTAGATAAATTGTTTTTCACGTTGGAACAGAGGTAGGTCTATAGTAGAAAAGTTAATGCAGTTTGATAATAATTTAAACATTCGACAGCGCTTTACTACTTAATCAATAATGATAATCGTAAACGCACCCCACAAACGGGGAGTTGTAAAAATTATGTAAGTTACATCTAGAGGTAGCGACGTTAGCTTACGAAATTGAGAGATTTAGTTTTTGTACAATTCGAAACCACTAGTTAGTGATTACACATTATTGCCTTTTTAACGTCAGACTTAAGGATATATAATGCATCTGTTATCCTACGAGAGTTCATAATGATTACTGCGAGATGTTTTAATTGCAATATGGTTTTAAAAATTATACAGAAATTTTGAGAAGATACTTCAATCAAATGATTATTTAAATGAGACAAATTATAGAAAGAATAAGTAGAAAGTTGACGCTATTTCCTTATATTTTTTTCATAACATATTGTGGTTGAAATTGATTTTTGTAATTGCCCCATATAGCTTTTAATGATATGAATTTTTTTTGTCCGTATTCACGTTCAGCTTCAATATCTATGTTGTAAAGATTTATGTTGCATTAATACGTGTTTTGATATACTTAGCTTTATTTTCATTAGGGTGAGACTATAAGGTTCGGAATAAATTAAACACACCGTATTTCGTTCAACGCTTAATATCATAATGATACATTTAACTTTTCCACTGCTAGTGTTAACACCAGTTGATATTGTATTGAGAATTGGAATATTATATAATCTAAATCTAATATAATATAATCAGTTTGCCTAAAACATGTTTAAAACTGGTATTTAATAGAAATATCGTGTGTTTAATTTATATCCAGGGTTTAAAGAGTATGGCGCAATGGAAGTCGAGTTAAGAGAAGTATTAGACTACTTAGTTAAGACTTCGGCGCGTTGTAACAACTTGTTCTAACATTAGTCTAAATAAGAACTGAATGCTAGCCTTAATTTTATTTATAATAAATGCTAGGGTAATAAAACCGCTCTTTTGAGTTAGAAATTCGATATGTTGTTTTATTTCATAATCTATTTACAAAAATATACAGTTCCCGAAAATGTGTATGAAAAAGGATTTTTAGTAAATCCAGAACCACCTACGTAATCAATCATATACAATCATGCACCTAATGGGATAGGCAGTAATGGAACAGAATGTATTTCACAATTAATTTATTGATATTTTCAGTTTTACAAATCATAACTATTTATTTGACACTTGATCGCTGCTTCATCTAGACGCACGTTTGCGTACTCTCTGCTGTCAAGAACTTTCTTTCAATTTACCATTTTCGTTGACCTTCGTAATACGTTCCATCACTTCATGGTTGTATGTCGAATGTAACATGAGGCCCAACACGCCAGCTCTGAAGGAAGATTTATTAAAAGATCATTATTGAAAATAGAAGTAACCGCAGACCGTGTAGTGTTTTTTTTTTTATAGAATAAGGGTGACAAATGAGTATACAATCAAAATGCAGAGTCGCGGTCACCCCTGAGGACTAAGATGGAATGCTTCGTTTCTAGTAAAAAGAGTTTCCAGTTCTCTCCCTACATTCACCATACGAAATATAGCAGCATTAAGCTGGTATCTTGTGAGAGCGTGGTCCTACCCCGGTCGAGCCGACCCATTCGTGCTGCAACCATAATATAGCTGCAGCATGACTCTACCACGTAAACAGTGGTGTAAGAATATCCACTAACTCATAACGTCCCGTGGGTGTCGTAAAACCGTCTAGCGACTATGGCAAATATGGCCCCCTTTAGGCAATCTGTGGAATGGCCTATGTTCAGCTCCAAACCTTGATAGGCTGTAATGAATGAATGAATTTATGAAGTCGTATAACGCTATCTATTTGAGATGTAATCTTTCTGGCCTTTCTTATAGTCGCCTCTTATGACTTTTATAGGACAAAATGAGGTACAGGATTCTCTTATTCATATACAACCTGACTAATTAGTCGTTATAAAATGAAATGAAGTGACGCGTACGTGATTATTTTTTAATTTTGAGGACTTAATTAAAAACAACTCCCAGAGCTATGGCTTTAAATGCCTTGTTTTTATTTTGCCTTTTTGGCCGACTTTCAAAAGTATGAGGTTTTTAATAAGAATGTATGTCTCATTTGTTTTTTTGTATGTATGTAACGCAATATCTTCTTCAATTGTGAACCGTTTTTAATGTTTTTTACTTCATTGGTGGTCCCATACAAATTTAGAGATAATATTACACTCCTGAGGGTGTCAAACTTAGGAATTAGTATATCCGCAGTAAAACCAGACTAACCGAGATAACTCAACGGATTAGTAAGCTGAAGTGGAAATGGGCCAGTCATATAGCTCGAAGAACCGACAACCGATGGGGAAGAAAGGTTCTCGAGTGTCCGCTTCGTACCGGTAGAAGAAGTGTTGGGCGAACCTCCACTTGATGGAGTAACAAGTTAAGACATGCAGGTGGCTCAGGACCCTGCTTTGTGGCATTCCTTGGGGGAGGCCTATGTTTAGCAGCGGACTTGTGAAGGGCTGTAATCATGAATGATGATGATGAAGGGTGTTAAATAGGGGTGAATTTTTTAATGTAACTACATTTGAACTCGTGATATGTAAAAGTCGACTTCAAAGAACTAAAAGGATTAATTTAATAAATACAATAACTTAATTAATACATACAAATATACGAGTACAAACTGAAATCGGGGCTTTCATTTTTCTATACACTATGTCCTAGCACCGACTTTAGTACCCCAGTGAAATTATTTTATTCTTTTTAATTTTTTAAGGTCTGTCTTTACTTTTTTTATTCTTTTTTTTTTAATATACCTGGATGCCATTGCCAGTCTGATATTTCTCTCCTGTTCAACAAGCTCATCTAGCCTCAGCCATTGCCTGACCCGTTCCATATCGATCTCCGCTCTCCGTAGTTTCTCCCATTGGTAATGCTTTAAGCAGGACTTCTTCGGAGCCCTACAGAACTCTCCCGTGGGTTCGAAGACATCACGAACTAATGGACATCCACATACATCTGTGTCACTCACTTTAGGGTCTTTGAAATGTTCTGGACACATTACCTGAAATTATTATTTTTTTATAAATTTGAAGTGAGAAACGAACATACAGTGCACCTGATAGTAAGTGGCTGCTGCAGCCTATTGACACCTTCAACTAACTTCAAACAAAGAATGCTTTTTACATGGTAGAGCCATGCTGCATTTATATTAATATTATAGTTGTAGCACGAATGGGTCGTAGACAGGGGAAGGACTACGCTCCCACAGAATACCAGCGTAAAATAGCAGCATAACGCTGCTGTGTTTTGTATGGTGAGTGTAGAGAAGCGGAGACTTTTTACTGGAAACGAGGCATTCCATCTTAGTCCTTACTGGTGCCAAAGCATCTGCATTTTGATCCGTAATCGAGGATAGATGTAGATGTCTATGGGCCACAGCAACCACTTACCATCAGGTGGACTGTGTGCTCGTTTGTCACCCTATCCTATAAAAAAAAGATGCGTTGTAACCTCTAAGCATGAAGTATAGAGTAGAAGGAGGACCATCTCTGTATAAGAATAAGTGTCCGTAAAAACGCGTCCAATAAGGGTAGGATAAATTTAAAAAAAAAAAAACCGGCCAAGTGCTAGTCGGACTCGCGCAAAACAAACGAACAAATCCATAGGTATATAAGTTTAAAATTATTAAAAATACTTTTATTATATGATGTAACTAAAAATTTATGCTTTTCGCAATTTTTCCTTTATCTGTGCTGTAAATACGTTGCATCGTACCAAATTTTAAGATTCTGAGTTCTCGGGAAGTACCCTGTAGGTTTTGATTCCCTTGCGAATGTCGAAAATTTGTGGCATAAACGGCTGTATCTTTTGATTGCGTTAACTTAGGAGTTTGATTTTTTTCACAGCTCCAAGGGACAGTAGACTTGATGAGTATTTGATATGAATTTCAGCTTGATACCTCCACGCGTTCCTGAGAAAAAGGGTCTTGACAGACAGACAGACGGACAACAAAGTGATCCTATAAGGGTTCCGTTTTTTCCTTTAGAGGTACGGAACCCTAAAAAGCGCCAAAAATGGTTAGAAAAGATGGAGAAATAAACAAGGATCAACCAATCTGCTTGGTTTTGTACTACGTAAATAGTTGAGGTTTTGTATACTGGCATTTTATAAACTAATCTAGTCATGAAATTTTTTTAATATTAGAAATTCAGCTGACTTCACTCCATCTACAACAGCTATATTCATATCGTAGTTTTTCAACTTAGGAGTTTGATTTTTTTCACAGCTCCAAGGGACAGTAGACTTGATGAGTATTTGATATGAATTTCAGCTTGATACCTCCACGCGTTCCTGAGAAAAAGGGTCTTGACAGACAGACAGACGGACAACAAAGTGATCCTATAAGGGTTCCGTTTTTTCCTTTAGAGGTACGGAACCCTAAAAAGCGCCAAAAATGGTTAGAAAAGATGGAGAAATAAACAAGGACCAACCAATCTGCTTGGTTTTGTACTACGTAAATAGTTGAGGTTTTGTATACTGGCATTTTATAAACTAATCTAGTCATGAAATTTTTTTAATATTAGAAATTCAGCTGACTTCACTCCATCTACAACAGCTATATTCATATCGTAGTTTTTCAGATGCCAGCGTTATTTTGGTATGTTTTGGTACCTCTTATTTTTAGTACTTATTCAGTTGGACACTTTTTCAACTTTTCCCCATATGAGATGGTTCTCCTTGTACTCTATACTCCATACCTCTAAGGGCTTGTAACTTGTTGTTATACTGGCTTTCTATACCCTTACTTTGGAATACATAGTATAAGCATTGTTATTTAGCGGTCGAAATACCTAGACTCCAAGCTAAGGAGTCCTACTACCTAGTATTATTTATAACATAAACATTAATGGAACTTGTTATTTTTAAATTACATTTCGGAAATTAAAAGGAGTTTAACAAAAGTATATCTTCACATACCCGCAATCTCTTACAGTATGTCCCGTTAACGGGATTGTAGTAGTCGCAGAACATACTTTGACCGTCGATACGTGTGCGATGTCGACTGCCGAAGGAAGCCTGCGCTTCGTACTTGATGAAGCACTTCTCCATGTGCTTGACTGCGGTCCGCGAGTGGATTTCGTGGCCACATGTTATGCAGTACATCGACGTTTCGTCGTCGGCTTCCTAAAACATATAAAAAAGTGTTTCCACGATTGTAAAAAGGATGTTGCTAGCATGATTGATTTTACTGGCCTGTACTAGATGCAAATAAGCTGAATCTAACATCTGTTCAATTAGGGAACATGAATAAAATAGGCGACTCACACGATAGGCAAATTGTATATTTAAAAGGAATGAAAAATACAAAATATTTGGTGGCGATCGGGTCGCGAGCTATCGGCGAGTGCCGGTCCCAGGCGTGGCGGTGAGAAACCCCCCGCACTTCACATACTCCCCGCAAACACCGTCGGTGCTGTCGTAACGGCGCCGACAACATCAACACAAAGAATATTTCTATTTATTTGTTATTAGATAGAAAACACAATAACAACAAAATAATGAAAATAGTTTTCAACACAGTTAAATTGTTTGGCCATGTCGAGAGAATGAATGAAGAACGATTGACGAAAAAAGTGTATAAGGCGAGTGTGAATGAAAGTGTGGGAAGGGGTAGACCTAGGCGGACATTTCTACACCAAATCAGGGACGTCTTGAAAAAAGGCCAGGTCAAGAGTACCCTAAACCGTAGAGCATGTATGAAGGGAATAATGAAAGTGGACGAAGCAAAACAAGTACGTAAGAATCGTAGCAAGTGGAAAGAACTGGTCTCTGCCTACCCCTACGGGAAAGAGGCGTGATTATATGTATGTATATATGTAAACTGTTACTAAGTAGATGCTGAGGCCCATAGACATGTATTCTCAATAAAGAATCAAGATGCAGATGCGTTTCCACCCGTGAGGACTGAGATGGATTGGCTTGGTTGTGTACAGTGAGCATACGTAAGACAGCAACATTAAGGTTGTGTTTAGGGCGGTATTGTGTGAGGAACCTTTTCGTCGGTGTGCAGGATGGTGGCGGTGCGCGCGCGCGCGACGAGCGCGTCGAGCTGGGCGTGCTGGCGGTCGAGGCGGCGCAGCGCGGCCTGCGCGCCCGCCAGCGCGCCGCGCACGCCCTCCAGCGCCTTGCGGTTGTGCTGCTCCGCCACGCACGCCGACAGCGACCACTCCTGGATCCGCTGCGGCAGGACCTGCAATACAACACCACACACTTTTATATATTCACTAGCTGCCACCCGCGGTTTCACCCGACTCTGAGCCGCACGACATGACAACTCACTTATAGAGGCGTTCACTGCTGCTTTCTCTCGACTATACGGGCGTCGGGGGTTATGCATCGTTCGTGCGCCGAACCGAGTGTTGCATTATTTTAATTTTTCGTTATCTCTTAAACTATGCGTCGAAATAATATGCTATAAAGAACAAAGTTTATCTTCATAAAATTGTCTTGATAATGAAGTAACTTTCGTTCGTAAGAATTTATATGCCATGCCTAATAATAATGCTCATAAATAACTTCACTTTCAATAATTTTTGTCACAAAAACCTCATTGTGTGGCTTATGTATAAAAAATAGGCATATGGTATCGCGAACTTTTTTTAGATGGAGAAACGATCAATATTTTTGTAAAACATGTAGTTACGTATCACCAACTATTACGCCAACGTACGCGGATAAAACAGTTCGGGAACACTTTTTCTTCCGACTTACTTAAAAAATATCAATATTTAAAGCTAACTCTATGCGTCCTATGCGTAGTGTAACCTAATACTAGACAGCCAGCCATAAAAACAAATATATTTTTTTTAATCTTAGTAGTTCTAGTCTAAATATTAGCATATGTAATAAAAACAAAAATACTTTTCGCTTTATTATATTAGTATAGATTTATTTATACCTTATTGTACACCTTTAAAAAATGATAACAAAGGACAGGCTTAATGCCATTTGGAATTCTCTACAAGTCAACCCAGTGGTGAAAATTAGACAAAGGTGTAACAATTTATACAAATAAAAAAAATTGAAGTGTCTCTTTGTAATATCAAGATAGCAGTTTTTTTACAAAGTTATAAAAATATATATGATACTTAGAACAAAAAAAATAAATAAAAATATTTGTCTATCCGTCAGTCAGTATGTTTGTTTCCGCTAATCTCTGAAATGACTGCACCAATTTTAACGGAACTTTCACAGGAAGATAGATGATGTTATAAGAAGTAACTTAAACTACTTTTATTTTATAAAAATAATTAAGGTTCCGTGAAAAAAATGAAACCCTATGAAATAAAATCGTAACAAATTCTACGCGGACGAAGTCGCGAAGAATAACTAATATATAATAAAAACATAATAAAACTGATCAGTAAATAGATAACATATAAATTTTACTATAATAAAAATTATAACGATGTATGATGTAAAGGAGGCGAGAGAGGTGTGTCAGAATCGTGCCAAATGGAAGTCCGTTGTCTCAGCCTACCCCTCCGTTTCGCTTCGCTTATAAATCTACCAAATACTAATAAACTTTACCTGATATATTCTAGCGGTGGCAAGCCGCATGCCACACTCCGTAGAACAATATTTGGAGCCGTATTGCGCCGCTTTCGTGCATTGCGGTCCATAGCACTGCCGAGGCTCTGATGTTTGCAGGTGCGATATTGATTCCTCTGGCTCATACATATCGCGTTCGTGATGTTTCTTCTTTATCCTGTTACTACTGTATAATTTAAGAAACTGTTAATAATTTTGCATTTGTATTGAATAAAAATAACTTTACGGATTTTATCTCATTTAATTTTAACTTATTTTTAGATACTAAATTGTGCTTATAGTAGCGTTTAAAGTGCTTTACAGTCTGTGAACATTTTCAAGATCGTCCGAGCTATGACATCAGATTTGATAAACCTCAAATCCTTGCAAAACAACACCGTTTTCTACCAAGGATGATTCCCTAGGCTAATGAAATTACAAAATGAACTCCCAAACAAATTTTTATTGGCATTTTTTCTTGCGTCTACAAATGAAAAATGTGTAAAAATATAAAGATTGAAATCATGAATTATTTTGTTTTCAGTCATACTGCAAGAAGTTAAGGAATTAAAGATATTCCAATTTAAAAAAATTTCACATCAGACTACGCTGTATGGTATAAGACGTTTGCCTGCCTTAATCAGCGAATCATTACAGCAACAAAAATTAGTCAATTTCGTTTTGATTATGCTCAGAATTATTACTAACTTAAAAAAATGTAGTTGAACTCTTTATGCTTATGACGTTTTACGTGGTACAAAATAAGATAGAAAATAAGTATGAGGTAGTGAAGTATCTTATGCCACTGTTACACATGCACTTTATGATTTCAAAATAATTTAATTCAAGCAGATATAGCTTTCTTTATGGTTTTATTTTCCTATGAACAAGTGGTAAATCAGCATAATTAAATATTATATATATAAAATTGGGATTACAAATGGGATCTAACTTGTTTTATGACTGTCAAGACTATCTATAATAGTCTGATTACTATTCACACCTCACTATTAGAATAATAATCTACTTAATGGCTTAAATAATAATAAGTCTAGTTTAATTTTATTTATATTTTAAGACTTATAATAAAGTAATAAAAAATAAATAGTGAAACAAATATATTTATTCCTCAACATCCCTTACAACAGATTTTTATATTTATGTAACTTGGCCATGACAGTCACAAAAACTTACATTTTATCACCAGTAAACTAATCAATTTAGGGTTATTTTAAGAAACAGTAGTTTTTGGTGGTTCCGGAGAACTGTTGCTCTTGTTTTATTATATAAATAATAATTTTATGTGAATTTTGATGCATAAAAGGGGTGCGATTTTGTCTATTAAATGTCTTCATGTGAACCATAAATGGAGACAATGTAACAAGTGCTCCAATGGTTCTTTGATATATTATCGTCATTAACTGTCAGCTGACTTAGGCTGCCGCCAATATCTCTCAAGAACTTTGTAATGTGATGCATTAGTATATTGAGAATAGTTTTGTGAAGAAATACGCGATATACGAACTAGGCAGTATAGTAAAAGACATTTGCCTGCCTAACTGGCAAATTGTAACAAACTAGTCAATTTAGTTTTAAATTATGACGTTTTTTTCCAGACTTCGATAAACCACAGCTTGATTAGATAAAACATAGTATATTAAATTATTGATATCTATAGTGGTGACATAAGTAGACACTTAATAATTCTATAAACAATTTTTTCGCCATTGTTCTTTCAATATTGTTATGGTTGGGATTGGAATCCTATTATTAATAAAATTATATCCAAACTCAAACAATACCACTGCAATTTTTCGAGATATATAAGCTTGTTCTGCATCAATCGGATTAAAAATTAATATTCAGAAGCTGAAGGTTCATCATTGTTAACCCGGGCTGGTTAACTATGATATGTTACATGGTAAACTTTCTTTTTATAGATTTGTTCAAGATCAAGATAATTTAAATCAAATAAACAACTTCATATGAGAGCAGCACACACTATAGTTGAAACATGTACAAGGATAGTCAATGTATTTTTCAATACTGTTGTAAAAAATGTCATAAATTTTATGGGTTCACCAAGTATTGCTATATTATAAATACTGGGGCAATAAAACTCACTTGGACTGACGTGATGCCTTCTTATCCTTGATGCACAATCGCTGCCTGCATTTCAATTTTAGCTTGCTATTACCACCATATTTGAACATGTCCTCACATGCTTCACAACTGAAAATTATAATCAAGTTAACAGTTACAAACTAACACACAACAGGAGATGGACAGAAACATCATCCTAATAAGAGATGAAAAATAAAAAACTGCAGTTGCAAACCGGCCTGCCAAGCTAGCCAACTTTGGCAAGTATGTTTTTAGACATACATAGAATAGATTTTCTCACGTCAGTTGGTCATTAGAGCCTCAACAGTTGCCAGGGTGTATCACACCTACAACATGGTAGAGACATTGTGCATCTATATTATGGTTGAAGTACAAATGTGTTGACTTGACTAGGGAATAACATCAGTTTTACAGAATACCAGAGTAAAATAGCAGATTCATGCTGCTGGTATGATGAGTGTAGAGAACTGGAATTCCATTTGATGAGGAGAGATGTAGGTGTCTACGGGTGGAGCATCCATTCCAAAAGGTGAATTTCAAGGCTTCCATTTTTTTATAGCATAAGGGTGACAAACGAGCACACAGTCCACCTGATGGAAAGTAGTTGCTGTGACCCATACACATCTACATCTATCCTCGATTATGTATCAAAATGCAGATACGTTGCCACCTTTGAGGACTAAGATGGAATGCCTTGTTTCCAGTAAAAAGGGTCTCCAATTCTCTACACTCACCATATGAAACACAGCAGTGTTAGGCTGCATTTTATGCTGGTATTCTGTGAGAGTGTGGTCCTTCCCCAGTCAAGCTGACCCATTTGTGCTATAATATAGCTGCAACAGTGCTCAACCACATTGACAAGGCTGTAATGAATGATAAACGAAAATGACTAGAATGTTACTACATTTAGAGATTGGATGGTAGAGACCTGGACATTTCTAGAACTCTACTCTCCAATTAATTTATTTGCTACATAGGTAATAATATGGTAGTGTAAAAAAAAGTAATAAAATGTAAATTAATATTAATAATTTTAAATTTGAAAAATACATACTGTCCACAATCATGTTCCTGCAAACAACCAGAGCAATCTCCGCAGCCATCTTTTATACTAGATCTCTTCGATGACTTGTTTTCTGAATGATCTTTCTCTTTACGTTTTTTCTTTCTGTCGTCACGGCCTATTATGAAATATGTCATAGTTAATAAAATTGAACATGGGATGGTCACTAACAAAGTGTAGCAACATGCGTCAAATTAAAAGCTGGGGAGGAGTTTATTAAGATTAAAAAATTTGAAAATTAATTGATAAATTATTTAGATTTAGGACAAAAATTTAAACTGTTTTATGTTTTTTTAATTTTTTTTTCCTACATTTATACAATATAAAGCATGACTCAGCTCTGTAGTAGTCTGGGTATTATAATGTATATATTCATGCCACCTCATTTCCTCAAGGAATTTTAGTAATTTTTCATGTTACTTTTGGAAGTGCAGCAAAAGCAATTTTAAGTGCTGATTTGCCACATGTTTGGTGGTGAAGAAAACATTCTGAAGAAATGTGAAAATTTTAATACACACTGGATTCGTGTAGTAGAAACTTCTTGCCACACATTGTTATCACATTGCACATCTGCTCTAATTCTCCATTACAATCAAAATTTGTGAAAACACCTAAAATTTTTGGTTTTCAGGTATGGTTGACTTATGATTTTTGTCATGTAACTGCACCTTTAGTTATCACACCAGCATTATATACATATTATATGGATATGTTAGAGTAGTGGTGGCTTAGAAACTAAGAACTCGCTAAATTAAAGTACAAGAGCATTAGTAGTGATGAATTCCTACTAACATCAATGAACTGCTACTTATAATTTAATGTGCTAATTTACCATGTGCTAAGTAATAAAGGAATGCATTGTTAGGAAGCCTGCGTGTGGGAGGTCTATGTTCAATAGTGAACTTTTAAAAGGCTCTAGTGAATGTATGAATAAATAAGTAGGTAAAAAATACTTTAGATTGTACACCTCCTCCTTTTTTGAAGTTGGTTTAAAAAGGCTACACCTAAGGGGTAACAGGCAATGGATATACTATCTCACAGCAAATAAATGTTTATATAGATAGTTAAATAGGTAATTGATTACAAACCCGAGTCCCCATCAGTTTCTCTTTTCTGTGGCCGGAATCTGGTCTTTAAACTGGGATCTTCTTCACGACAACGGTCACAGAAATAATTTTTAATGTATTTTGCTTCTCTCTCCGATATATTGATACAATCACCGTGGTACCACTCTTCACAAGCATCACATGCTCTGCATGAAAAAAATTGAAATGGGCTTTTTAACTTTTTGATAATTATTGATGCTTATATTATATTGATGATTTTGCTATTAGTATGAGTACACATTTTATAAGGGTTTATAAAAATGTATTGCAAGTATATATAATTTTCTTTATTCCTGTTGAACTGTTCACCCATTTTTCAATAACTGAATTTAATTCCAATAGTATATACTAAAATGTAATCAGTTTACCAATACCAAATAACTAATTTTCATATTACATGTATTTGGTATATTTACCATGGAGCCAAGAACAAAGTCTAAATATCTAATAAAACACAATCTTACATCATAAACCTTGAACTATCCGATGATCTGCATATGCAATAAGCTTGACCAGCTTGATTCAGCAACGAGGTGATCTTTGACTGTCGCTCGGGCAAATCAAACTGTTTAGCAATATCTGCTTTCTGTAAAAATAAACAATGTTTTATTGATTATTGTTTAGAAATTTCAATTGAAACAAATAAACGTAAACAATACTTACACTCTGTTTATACTTTTTATCACTCATCGTATTTGTAAATACCCAAAATCGTTTATAATATAGTTCAGTTTTGTAAGTTTAAAACAATAATCTTACAATTATAACTCGGTATCTAACCTATACCTAACAAATCTTTAAGCCTACGTATTTTTAATTTAATAATATATTATCAGTTATATGACTTTATCTTTCACCTAATTCTAATTTGTGAGGAAATAATTAATTTTCTTTTTCTTATGAGTTCAGAGGTTCAGACTTCAGACTTCAGACTAGGGATGTGAAAAAATAATCGATTTTCATATTAATCGATAATTTTTTTCTTGTAATCGATTTTTAGAAGTCGATTTTTTATAATAAAAATCGATTTTTATGTAAATTACGCGTTTCAATCGATTTTTGTAATCAGAGTCATCTGTGCGATGGATGTAAAAACGTGAAGTAAGTTCAATAACATGAATAAGTCAATCAAAAGACGGCGCCACCTTTATGTATCTCTATGTATGTAAAACAGTTTCGATTTTCATATGTTTTCAACAGGTTTCTTCCTCCGCTAGGAGTAAAAGTATTCTGTGGTTTTCTTTCTTTCTTTGGTTAGTGTAAACAATTATATATAAACAATAAAAATGTGTTGTGAAACGCGTAAAAGTGACTGACAGAAGTATTTTATAATGAAAAAATTATAACGGCCAACACGTCAATAGGCAAAAATACTGAATTGGATCTATATATTGCGGCACCACTATCAAATCTCAAGGCAGATGCCCTCAATATATGGAGAAGCCCTGAAGGAACTTTCCCTAAATTAACCGAATTGGCTTTTAAACATCTCTCAGTGATGGCCAATTCCGCGCCAGCCGAAAGATTATTTTTGAAAGCGGGAAATATTGTCAGGAAAAAACGAAACCGTATTTTGGGAAAGAGACGAAGAAGAATTTTGGTGAAATGATTGTTTTTAAAGCCTTTAACTGAAAATTCATGGCAATATTTATTTTTACCTTTTTTCGTTTACACAAGTTTAAAAAAAGATTTGTCTTCTATTTTAGTTTTCAGATCAAAAGGTTGTCGTCGGATTATTTATAATTATATTTTTATTTTATTTTCATTCTATTCCAATGTAAATGATACTGAACATTAGTGGCATAATGATATTTAGACTTTTTGTTTGTTCAAACTTAGTTTAAAAAAACTATCAGTTCCTAAAATTATGGTTTCTTAATGATTTCTCATATTTACGCGAAGACTACACATTAAATGAAATTAATTTTTACGGATTTGATCACGCTTAATTTAATTTTTTAATTCCTGACGTTTCGGGTGCTTCACAGCACCAATAGTCACGGGGGGAACTGAGGTCTTTGACGTCCAGATGTCATAGTTAGCCTGGCTAAATTCAGTTTTTGAACATTAATTTTTGGTCCGATCTACGCAGAATGAGCTTACAGTATTTTGAAGTCTTACAGTGGTATGCTTGGGTTTGGATTTAATTTTATTAATTATAGGATGCCAAGCAGATGGCAGCACCCATCCATCTTCTCTATTGAAATTAAGATGTTTTTTAATTTTGATAGCCTCGCGAATCATCCTTTGTAGGAATCGGTGTTATTTTGCGAGGATTTGTGGTTCAACTATAACATAGGGACGTCAAACACCTCAGTCCCCTCTGTGACCATGCGTGCTGTAAAGCACCTGTAAAACTTAGTTTAATTTATCGTTTCTGTTTATTTTGGTTGTAATAAATTGTTAAATGGCACTGAACATTTGTGGCAGTAATTATTTTTAGTTTTTTTTATTGTTCAAAGTTATATGTTAAAAAAACTGTTCTGTAGTTTATTTCTAAAACCAGAAGATTATTTTTCGAATAAAATATTTTTTTCGCAAAGATCGATTATTTTTTTATAAAAAAAATTGATTTTTTTTAAATCGATTATTATCACAAAGCAAAAAATCGATTTTTTATTAATCGATTTTTTTCACTCAATGTCACATCCGTACTTCAGACTTCAGATATATTTTTTTAAAACTGGCTTTACGGCTCTGGGTTCTAGCCCTTCTGAGCTGGTTCAGATAAAAATAATACCAATATAATAGATTAACAGAACTTAAAAGTACTCTGTGAACAGAACCAAAGAGTATTCGTCATAGGAGTTTTGGCGGGAACTTGACCAGCTTCGGTTTGCTGCTCCTGTTTTATTGTTTAAATAATGGTTTGATGTGGACTTTGATATGTAAAAGTAGTGCGATTTTGTGTATTAAGTGTCTGCGCAAGTGAACTATTAGTGGAAACTGTGAAACAAGTGCTCTGAAAGTGATGTGATTCTCAAAATAAGGTGCCTGTCTGCTTAGGCGCCTTAAGATACCAGCGCCAACCGTCAGCTCTCTGCTGGCTCACGTTACCGTCAAAATCTCCCGAGGGCTGCACAATGTAACGCATCAACATATTGTGAAGCAGTATACCATGAAGAATAATTATTATAATATAATATTGTAACTTCAGGCTCAGAAGGGCTAGATCCCAGAGCCGTAAAGCCAGTTATTAAGAAGAAGAAGTATTTGTCATGGACTTTTTTTTAATAACTGGCTTCACGGCTCTGGGTTCTAGCCCTTCTGAGCCTGAAGTTACAATATATTATAATTATCCTTCATAGTATACTGCTTCGCAATATGTTGATGCGTCACATTGTGCAGTCCTTGGGAGATTTTGACGGCAACTTGAGCCAGCAGACAGCTGACGGTTGGCAATGGTATCTCAAGGCACCTAAGCAGACAGACACCTTATTTTGAGAATCACATCACCATCAGAGCACTTGTTTCACCGTTTCCACTAATAGTTTACATGCGCAGACACTTAATACACAAAATCGCACCACTTTTACATATCAAAATCCGCTTCAAACCATTATTTAAACAATAATACAGGAGCAGCAAACTGACGCCGGTCAAGTTCCCGCCAAAACTCCATTCGTCATAGACTAAGAATATACTGGCCAAAGAGTATAGTAACTGCAAAAGAACAGGAAAAGAAAGCCCACTCCTGCGAAATCTGTCAACCGAGGAGTAGTAGCGCTGACTGGTGCTGTTTCGACACAATATAGTGTGAATGTGTGCTTGCGTATAACACATGCACCTTTAACAGTAAGTAAAATATTTTGTTTCAATTTCTGAAATATTAAAAATGATGAACAGATAAAATACCTACATATTATAATTTAAGTTGATCTTTTCTTTCACATTTACGATAAAGTACTTAAAATTTTACGCGGAAAACATAACAGTCATGTAAAACTTAACGACGATGTAAAAAGGTTAATTAGAAGGCATATTAATTAATTTGAAGGTAGTGTATCGTTTTATAGTACTATCTTATCATTTTTCTACATTTTTTTTTATAAATCATGATAACACCATTTTTTAAATTTTGTTCTAGGTCGTTCCAGTCATTACAGTGTACATGATTCAAATAAATCTTATTTGCCTGAAGAATTGAATGTAAAAACAATGCATTCAACGTTCCTTCAAGATAATCAAGGTGTATCTGTATCTTATGAAACTTATAGAAATATTTTTGTACCGACTTTAACATTGCTTTCGGTTATCCTCGTACAGATACATGCAGCATTTGTGACGAATTCATAGCAAAAACAAAAGCATTGGAGGCTAAGAAGAAGATATGCACTGATACAATTGCCAAGTACATTGGATCGGGAAATTTTGAATCTTTTTAATCAAAACAAATTACATAATCTACAAGCAAGCACTTTTTCCTATAGAAAACGGATGGCAAGGTTGCAAAGTAGAGAAACCGGCAGCACAATGGGGGCAATATATTTTGACTATGGTAAAAATCTTTGTGGCCCTAACATACAAACAAACGATACTTATTATAAACGGCAGCTATCAGTGTATGCTTTCAATGTGCATGTATTATCTTCACCACAAAGCATCTTTTACCTGTATCCAGAAACGGAAGGTAAAAAAGGAAGCGATGATGTATGCTCGCTTGTCCATCACTTTGTCTATAACTACATGAAGCCTCAGTAGGCGCGATGGACAAGCGAGCATACATCTTCGAGTTGTAGTCAACTCACCTTCAAATATTTTGTGACTCTTGCGGAGGGCAAAATATTTTTTTTTTCAGTTAAGTACTAAAATAGGCTTCCGCTCTACTTATAATGGGCCATGGGAATCTGCTTGCCTCAGTGTTAGATAGACAACTGTACAACAAAATTAATTCATTTTGCCTGGAAGGTTGTATAGTGTATACAGACATACTGCTAATTTCTGCTGAAAAATATAGTGACCTTCAGGACTTAAAAAAGTTTTGTTCCCCTGAAAGTATTATACGCGAATTTACCCCACAAATAATTTTTTTGGCAAATAACATGTATTTTATTTCATTAGTGTGTTTATGTAATTAGACATTGTTTATGATCACCATTTAAGTTGTAAAATGTAAAAAGGAGATCATTGTGACAATGAGTACCTTCTTACCAATTACATTTAGGTGTTAGGTAATTAAATTTCAAACTATTATTTATTTACCAACCCAATCATTTAAAATAACAATCCATAATGTTAAATATACACTGTTCCTTTTTATATGGGTACAAATCATATTCTAGTAGAGTTTTAAGTGTAGAAATTGAAATTTTAGGTTTAATTCTTAAATTACTCGAAACAATGAGAATGTTAATGAGCTTCTGCTTTTCCTGTGCCCTTCAATTTGTAAATAGGAATTAAATACGATATTTTTTTAACATGAATGAAATTAAACACATTATTCTATATATGTTGAACTTAAGGGAGATAGATAATGATTTAACCTAGTTTTGACAATACAACATAAAAAACTAATATTTTGTAATTATTTTAATAATAACACAACTATGCCTACAGTAAAATAGTAAATTTTATTATTTTAATATATGAATGTGTTTATTTTGATAAATGAATCATAACAAACTTTAACATTACAAAATATTAACCTAATACCCTAGGTACCGGTAAATTTTTTGTGGTGACAAACGAGC